GCAATAGACTGGGGAGAGGGGGAGGTGAGGTGTGAAGAGCTGGGGATGATCTGCCTGGGCTGCAAGCCAGAAGATGGGGATTCCAGGGTTCAAATCCTACCTCTGGCACTTAACTGCCGTCTGCCTTACAAAAGAATTGAGGCCAAGAGGCCTAAAGCCTGTGAGCCCTGGCTTCAAAGCCAAGACCTGGGCTAAGATTCATCCAGCCCCACTCAATTCCCCCACAGGTTCGAGAGGAGTACCGGCGCTGGGCCTGCATAGTCACTAAGAGCAAGTACAATGAGTTTTCCACCTCTACAACCAGCCAGAGCCGGGTAAGGGCAGGAGGAGGGCTGGGGGTCAGGGGTGGATGCACGGTGGGGTGGGCAGAAGGCCAGAAAGGGGCCCAAGACTGACGTCGGCACTTTCTCCCTCAGGCCCTCAGACCGTCGCTGGAGTCTGGGATGTGAACACCACCAACGGGCCCCGTGGGGACACTGCAGCTTTTGCACATGCCAGAGAATGATTCCGCCGCCTATTCTGTAACTCCTCTCGCCCACTACTCCTAAAGAATCTATCTTCCCTCCAAGGCAGGCCTCATCGAGGAACATAAAGCTTCAGGGATGCAGAGCCAGTCGTCAAGGGAATATAGCTCGTGCTATTCTGAGGGAGGGCAGAGAAATTGCCCTGGCTTAAAAATATGCAACTCATAATTCCATCCCCTACTGGAACCAGCTCCCTGGGGAAGGTGCTCTCTGGGCTCAGCCTGGGCTTACGCTCCCTCCCCCAGCTTTGGCACCAAGGGCCAGGACCACAGAAGACGAGATGGAACTGAGCCCCAATTTCCTTTTTCTCACATTATTAGGGAAGGAGTGTGACCGACAGTGACTGAGGCAAACGGTACGAAGGGGCTTGTCCCCATCCTTATCTACTGATGGGGGGGCACAGGCAGCTCTGTCAAGTGGACTTTTTTATTTGTTTATATTTCTCTTTTTTTAAGCTTTCTAAAGTCGACATTTCAGATTAAACAGATTGAGTTAATACATGATCATTCTGCCTCCTCTTTTTTCTCAATGAGTCCACAAAGATGATTACAAATTCTGATGTGCTTCTCTCTTCCCCTCTAAAAAGAATTTTTTTCCTAAAAATGAAAGAGATGAGGCTTTTGTAATAAAAGTTTATTCTTACACAAATCTACAAGCTTTAAAACACAGTAAAAATAGTTGCGATACCCGTTGTCACTCAGAAAAGAAAACATTAAAAGCTGCAAACGGAGGCAGGGGTAGCCCTGATGGTCTCGTCTGTAGCTTTTGGTTATCGGCTTTGTTCAACTGTAGGAAAATAGGAAAAAAGAAACAAAACTCTTAGTTTGAGAACTTTGCCGCCTTCTTCCAAGAGGCCCCAGCCTGGCACCATCTCTTTATACTACTCTTCCCCTCATAGTTTCACTGAGCAGCCTTGCCAAGAACCAGCACAGGCCAGGCCCCGAGCCCTGGGCAGATACTCACTGTATGTGGAGATGTCAATTTCCTCAGGCAGTTCTGCCACATTTACTTCAAAGCGGTCCTGGACATCATTAAGGATCTTGGCATCCCCCTCATCAGAGACAAAAGTGATGGCCAAGCCCTTGGTACCAAATCGGCCAGCCCTGGCAACCTGAAGTAACCAGAAGATGACAACATCAGAGCTAGAAGAGCAATGTTTTACCACAGATCCCTCAGCTACTAGGGTACAGAAATGTTTAAATACGGCAGTGGAAAGAATGCCGACATTTACAATCAGTGTAACACTGGGCAAGTTTAGACCCGTTTTCTTACCTTGCACCATGACTGGATTTAGGTGAGCTTTTCCAGTTCTAACATTCTATAATCCTAACTGCGACAGGAAGGGTTTCCTACTTCCTATGCCAATGATCCCTAAGTCCTTACTTACCCTTAGGGAAAACTGGCACTGGCCAGCCTGCTGTAGGAATACAGTCAGTCCCCTCAAAACCAAGTGCAAATTCTTACCCGATGCAGATAGGTATCAGAGTCCTCAGGCATGTCATAATTGAAGACTATGTTGACCCGCTCAATATCCATGCCTCGGCCAAAGAGGTTGGTGGCCACCAGGATCCGTCGCTGGAAATCCTTGAACTGTTGGTATCGTGATAGCCTGGAAGTTGGTAAGGACAGGGTAGAGCCATGAGTAAATTTCATGCCTAGAGAGCTCTACCTAGACACAGTCTTTCCTTAAGACAAAAGAGTAGACGATCAATTCATAAAATCACTGAGATAAGCAAGGTTATTCTACCTTAGCCCACCTCCAACCCCCACAGCCTCCCCTCTCTCTCACCCCACACACATACCCTTTATCTAACATCCCTCAATGATTACAAAACTGAATGACAGCAGAAAGGAGGCTGGTGACCTTGAACTTGGAGACCTAAATTCAAATTCCAGTTCTATTACCTAAGAGCTGTGTGTCTCAACTTCTGTGTTTGTTTCTCTGTAAAATGCATTTCAGTGTAGGGAGAAACATACTTTTGAGTCAAGTAAACAAGCACTTAATAAATGCTTCCTTGATGGTAGGCACTGTGCAGAGGAGAAAGACAGTCCCTGCCCTCAAGGAGCTTACATTCTAAGGGAAACTCTGAGGCCCTACTGAAAGAAAGGCACTGTCTTTCTAAGGACTACTGCTGCTATCCCGAGGGAGCTCACCTTTCCTCCTGAGCCATGCCTCTGTGGATGGCAATGGCTGGAAAGTTCTGCTCTACCAGGAGCTGAGCCAAGGCTACACAGCGCTGCACCGACTTCACAAAGATCACAACCTAAGCAGGAGAGCACAAAGCATCTCATCAGACCCTCCAGCCCGCTCTGAACTGGGGGTGGCCGGGGGCACGCAGACCCTGTCCCAGCTCTCCTCAGCACGGAGGCATCACCTGGTTAAACTCCAGCACATCCAAGAGATCAAAGAGCTTTCTGTTTTTCTCACTGTCCTTAAGCTTCACATAGTATTGCTGTAATCCATGCAGCGTCAGCTTTGTCTCATCGTCCACAAAAACTTCCATCGGCTGTGGGGGAGAAGGATGGGGATTCTTAAACTTCCACGGCAGACTCCCTGGGAGGGTCCCCACCTCAGACAACAGAGCAGGACAATGTGGCATAAAGAAAGCCCGGCGGTCCCACTCTGAAGGGGTCGGGTTTGAATGCCAGTCTATACCTAGCAAAGACGAGGGTGCCGAGGGACTTCTGACAGGGGATGGGGAAAGCAGAGGAAGGGAAGAAACTGATGTGGGGGGAATGTTGTGCCTGCCAAACCATGCTGGCTCCTGAAGGCACAGGGACCCACCCCCTTGGCAGAGAGGTAGGTCCTAGTCCTGGAGGGGTACACTGCTCCAGCCGTGGGGAACTAGCATCATTTCTGATCCCAAGGACCCTGTGATACAGCACGTCAGACACTGAGCAACCTTTAGAGGCAGCCAGCCCCCTCCCTGCACCCTCTCACCCAGGGAGGGGAGAAGAGCAGGGCTCACCTGTTCAGTGTTAAGAGCTCAGAGTCACAGAATCATTATGGAAATCACTGAGTCCAACCCCATCATTTTACAGATGAGCCAGAGGGGATGTGACTTGTTCACGGTCACACAGCGAGTTAATGCCAGGTTTAGAACCCAGATCTGACTCAGTCCACTGCTCTGTCTCCACTACACCACGTTGCCTCTTGCCTCTCTGTCGTCGGGGGAGGGCAGGTAGCTAAGCCACTCCTGGCTGCTCCAAAGCAAAGTCCAGCCTGTGGCAGGCCCTGCTCCCAGGTGAGGGGTGAAAAGCAGCCGGGGCTAAAAGGGGGATTTCTCCTCTGGTGAGCTGGGCTGGGGGCATGTTCTCTTCGCACTCACATCCTGCATGAACTTTCTGCAGACAGGTCTTATCTCCTTACTCAGGGTGGCACTGAACATCATGCACTGCTTCTCATGGGGTGTCAATCGAAAGATCTCCTGCACATCCCGGCGCATGTCTGCAAGAAAGGGAAACAAGGAAAAAGAATGAAGAGGGCCCTAGGTCTCTGTTGGCCAAAGTCCCCCCACACTAAACAAAAACCACACTCACCCACACTTGGTCCCCAAGTCCCGCCCCAACCCCAGCAAACACAAGGTGTGGGCTGAGAGGGCACGTGACCTAGGAGGGGAAAAAATTTCTCGGGACTGAGCCCCAAGCCCGCTGCCCTCTGGGCTGTGAGGTGACAGCAAGGAATGGTAGGGAAGAGATGGGTGTAAGAAGGAGCAGTACTTTCACTTACACACGCTGTCAGTGGGGAACCCAGCTGCGCCCATGTACCTCGTGTCACGGCCTCGGGGTAGGGCAGCCTGAGGTAGAGACAGCTGCTGGGATTCTAGCTGTAGTTTGCACCTTAGACACACTTAAGACACATACCTAATTTCTCACTGACTCTCCTGACTCGGGGCCAAGTTATAGCAGATAGCTGTTGCTAAGCTTCCTCTTTGCCAAGACCTGGCCTGGAATGTATTCAGAGCCAGTAATTTGGGAACTTTGAAGTTCCCCTGGTTCACCCTTGCTCCTATTGCTTTCCCTGGTTCAAGGGACACGAGGAGAAAACAGGTGGAAGGATTACGGTCTATCCCCAGGTCAAAGGAACCTGCAGAGGTCATCTGGAAGGATTACGGTCTATCCCCAGGTCAAAGGAACCTGCAGAGGTCATCTAGTCCAACGTCCTCATTTTAGGATGAAATTGAAGTGGAGAGGTTCAGTGACTTGCTCCAAGTTATCCAAATAATAAAGGGGAGCAGGATTTGAACCTCCAAAAAGTGGATTCCAAATTAAATGTTCTTCTTACTAATTACACTAGTAAACTCCGGACCCCAGAGCTCTGGGTGTGTCCCAAGAGTCCCAGAGGAAAGCCCTTCTCCCAGGTGCATGTGAATGCTCTGGCCTCAGCCACGTTCCCCAGAGGGCACAATAAGGAATGATGGCAGGAAGCCGAACTCAGACAAATTTAGGCTTGACATTAAGGACTTTTCTAACAACTGTCCAGATGTGAAATGGGTTGCCTTAGCAGACAGTGGAACTCTCCACACTAAAGGTCTCCAAACAAAGCTCAGATGACCATGATGGTTTGCTGAAGAGATTTTTCACAGAGCTGAACTAGATGGTCTCTGAGTTCCTTTCCAACTCTTAAGATTTTTTTATGTCCGGGGTTGAGGGCCGGGAGGAGGGAAGTTGTTCTGTGGGAAATGAGGACCCTGGACTCTTCCCAAGGACTCTAAGGCCCCCATCTACCCTTTCTGTTCCCCAGGAGCTTGGCCTCAGTCTGACACAACCAAATGGCTAAAAGCAGACACTGACTTAGGGGAAAATCAGGCTTGTCTTTATGGCTGAGGGAAATGCTTGGAAATCGAATAGGACAGACCACAGAAAAGCATGAAGGGGGATCCTAAATACTCTCCTGAATGACAGAGAAGGGCAGAGGTGCTGGGACAGCACCAGGTATGCTTCCCATTGCTCTAGGACCATCTGCCTAACCAAGAAGAGACACACAGCACAGAGCACTCCCTTGATCCTTTCCGATCCTAGGGTGTCATGCTGCAGGGGCACGGACAGCACAAACAGGAAATGGAGACTCACCAAGCTGCTCCAGCATCTTGTCACACTCATCCAGTACAAAGTGCTTCACGTTTTTCAGATTGAGACTCTTGTTGCGTACTAAGGCCAGAATCCGGCCGGGCGTCCCCACCACTACATGGGGGCAGTTCTTCTTCAGAACGTCTTCATCCTTCTTGATTGAAAGGCCACCAAAGAACACAGAAACCTGCAAGGTATACGTAGGGAGGGTGGGAGGAGGAAGAACCAGAGGTGCTAGCTGATGACGTTACTGTCACTGCGCGTGCGCGTGCATGCACACACACGCATGCACGCACAGCCCTACCTCCCAGAACAAGGAAGCCTTTGGCTCTCCCCAAATACAAAGGCTGTCTTATGGTTGAAGACCGTAGGTTGTCCCTTGCCTAGACAAGCAGGGGGCCAATCCCTACAAGAGCAGCACGGTAAGAGGTTA